TTTTGTCTGCCTTTTGAGCTTCCACCCTGCTATGTCACCCAAAGGGTTTTCCCTCTTCCTACGATAAGGGCAGTGCCCTTCCCAAATGTGCTCCTCACCCAAGCCATTGGCAAAATTGGGAGTAAGGTTTAATAACCCCGCCCAACTTCGATTAACGAAAAAGTGGTACGGGCTATGTTTACCAGCTCATCATATTGCGGGCTTAAATCCCTGTAAAACGGGATGAAAGGCAGCCTCTCCCAAATCCCACAGCGGGAACTGAAATGTTTCCTGAGTTAAAAAGCAGTTTAAATGCCTAAAACCATATTTTGACCCAAACGACAATTAAACTACCTTTCCCCTGACTTATTAAAGATATTTCACAAAATTACCAGCAAATTTGGGGAAACAGAAAAAAATTACCGCCCCCCCATCAAAATAACAAGGCGACTGTCACCCAGAAAAAAACAAGACTGCATGGACTAAACATTTCTCCACCTTTGAAAAAAACCTTTATCCTGAAAATCCCCCAGATTTCACCCAGCCTCTCAGGACATTGACATTATTACTGACACCAAGCGACAAAATTCTTAAGCTATCCACCGTTAAGAACACAACACCATGCAAGACGAACTGCCAGCAGAACTTCTCAAAGTAGGCTCCACACACAAATGCTAGCATTCTGAACCATTGTTTTTAAGGATATTTGGGAAAAGAAGTGTTGCTGATGATCTGGAACTGAAGTGAACAATAGTCAAAATTCCCCCAAAAGGAACTTAACAGACTGCATTAATTGGGAGGGGAATTACTCTACTCTCCTACCAAGCAAAATATTTTGTAAAATCATCATAATGCGGCTTGAAAAAGGAGTGATAAATGCCTACGAGTGGAAAACAAGCAGGATTCAGAAAGGGCAGAGGTAACAACTGAACACATCTTCGCCATACGTAACATTTAGAAACAATGCAAACGAATGGCAGAGAAGTATATATATATTAATTTTGTGGGACTTTGAAGAAAGCTTTGACAGCGTCCATAGAGACGGTCTGTCTGGAAAATTTTACGACATTATGGAATTCCAGAAAAAAATAGTCAACATAATTGCTCTCTTCTATAAAAGACTTTTCCCTGCAGCATAAAAATTATAATACATCCTTTCCCAGTAAAAGACGGGTGTAAGACAGGGATGTGTTATGTCATCTCTCCTCTTCATACCTGTGATTGATTAGATACTAAAGAAACACAGTAGACAGGACATTAAGAGGCATACGATGGGGACATCCATTCACCATGCTTGAGGACCTTGATTTTGCAGATGATATAGCACTCCTATCACATAAACATGAACATATACAAGAGAAAAGTAACAGACTAAAACTGCACAGCAGAAATGTGGGGACCTGAGAAATAAATAAAAAGAAAACTAATATCATGACAAACAGTCCAAACCAACACAACCAGGACCAATAAGTAACCAATCCCTTGAAACTGTAGAAACATTTCAATATTTTGGGCAGTGTGGTGTCCCCTACTGGGAGGGACAGAGGAAGACATACAGTCACGTCTGAACAAAGCTAGAGCTGCTTTTGGAAGGGATGAGGCAAAAATCTGGAAACCAACAAATTACTGGCAGAGGAACGAACTCCGACTCTACAAGAGCATGATTTTGCCATAGTTCTTCTTTATGGAGCAGAATGCTGGAGAATGACCCAAAAAGGATGCAACACAAGCAGTCCACCTTCCACCCACACGTGTCCTACGTAGAATTATCAGAAATTTTCTGGCCAGATACAATCTCAAACACTTAAACTACCTTCAAGCCACAAACCAAGAAACTTTAGACAGTATGATTACCAAGAGAAATGGAATGGCTTGGCCACGTTATGCGAATGACTTCTGATTTACCTGCCAAAACAGCTCTCACATGGACACCAGAGGGAAAGAGAAAACAGGGGCGCCCAAAAACAACATGGAGACGAGCGATGGAAAGTGACCTGAGTGCGGCATCTTTGACATGGAAAACTGCATTAAAGATTGCACAGGACAGGAAAGCATGGAAAGTCCTCTCTGAAGCCTCATGTGCCACTAGGCATAACAAGAACTGATGATGACTGATTACCAAGCTTTATGAAAACAAGGATTTAAGTTGACAGTATCACGTACCTTTCCTGACTTATTGATACTTACCAAGCTTTATAAAAACAAGTATCTAAGTTGACAGTATCACGTACCTTTCCTGACTTATTCATGATACTTACCAAGCTTTATGAAAACAAGTATCTAAGTTGACAGTATCACGTACCTTTCCTGACTTATTAATGATACTTACCAAGCTTTATGAAAACAAGTATCTAAGTTGACAGTATCACGTACCTTTCCTGACTTTTTAATGATACTTACCATGCTTTATGAAAACAAGGATCTAGGTTGACAGTATCACGTAAAATCTTCTCAGCCAATCTGTCATCTCCGAGCTTGTGTAGAACTATTCCCTAAATCCACAGATTTATAAAATTACAATAACTCAGTTCAGCGTTTAAACAAAGAAAATTATGAAATCTTGCACAATAAACAGTATTGACAGTGTATAAATATATCATCATCATCATGTAGCAGGTCCTTTGCAGAACATCGCTCTCATCACGGTCTGCCTGAAGAAACTCGATCTCTCGCCAGCTCTCCAGCCTCATGTACTTTCCTGTGCCCATGTTTGTGTTGGTCAGCCCCTGCCCCTCCTTCCTGGTACCATGCCTTCTGCTTTAATTTTTTCCAATCCATCGTGGCGCTTGATATAACCAAAATATTTCAGCTTCTGATACAGGATGCTGTTTATCAGCCAATCTTCCTTGATGTTCAGATCTTTAAAGATGTCAGTATTTCTCCTTTTCTTGCAAGGTTATAATGTACAATTTTCAAATATGACTAACTACACGGCGTCGCCTAAGTTTCTATACACAGGAAAAACATTTCGCTGCATGTCCTCCACGGATAAAGAACATGTATAGCATTGCTAGAGTTACGCTTGTAACGGCCTTGTGAAATGTTTATTTTTCTTATGTATGGAAACTTATGGGGTACCCTTAGAATGTTAACTTTTAGTGAACTATACGCCTGCCTGTATATTACTGTGGCCTATGAGAAAAGCAGAGTAACACTGTAACATACTAAGCCTATCATAACATTAAACTAAGCCGAGCTGTTGAAAACTACACCTGTATAGTCAGCCAGTCATGGGCAATTCTACATGGTGATAAGTGTCAGTGATTAGTGAAAGCAAAAATAAAACAATTTCTAGATTATACTATAAAAAGACCCTTGAGGCATATTGGGCACAATGCTAAATCTATATTTTATAGACCAGTTGACCCTCTGTGGATGACGAGGTCAACATCCCACTGGCATACATTTAAGGCTGGGTCGATTTAGGAGCCAAGGTCATTTTTTTCACACAGACAACAAAAAATATTAATGATGACTTTCCCACATGGCGGCGTCCGTAGCTTAGACGCTGCAAGTCCGACTCATAATTCCAATGTACCGCGATAGAAACCCACTGCTAGCTGCGTGAATTTTTATCGTGGTATGGGGCGTCGCAGGTCGACCCAGCCTTTAAATGGGTACCAGGACGTATGTCCTGGGAAAGTAAAGACTGCCGGCGTAATGCCGACCACATTACCCACCTAGTGCCGATTGGTCTGTAAAAATATGGGTGCTCTTCCCATATGCCTGATACTTTACTTTTTACTTACTTTCCCACATGGCACAATTAGGACAGGAACACAGACTTTTACCATTTTTCTTCATTTGCAATGGAAAGGGTGGTTAGGACTTTAAGTTGTAGTTTACAGCCAGGCTGCAAAATATCTGTGCCCTTCGACATGAGACAGATCCCACTTCAGCAAGTCTTTCATTAGTCGCCTTTTATGTCATCCTTGTTCAGAGGCAGTGGATCTTTTCTTTTTTCTTTCCTCCCAAAAAAAAAAAATTGTGTCCTCAGAACCTACACAGGGCGGACCTGATTCAAGCCTGGTGATTGTCTGAACTGCTCAGCCCATGACCATCAATGCTTACTGACAAATCATGTTGAATGTTGAATTAAGAATCAACATCACAGCACTCGGGACACTCCCATAAGTGCTCAGTCCCCATCTTTAGCAGCAAGCAAAGATTCCCAATTCCGATGGTACCAGTAACCGTCTGATTGTATATCCATCTCATTCTTCCCCTGAGTGTTGAGCACCAGCCAGATCCCCTGTTAATTCCTCGCAGAGCCATTCTACTTAGACTGTAATGAGGCCTCACAATATCATACTTGTCATACATCAATTCACCACCAAGTGGTGCAGAGCCAGCCAGTCTATCTGCCTGCTCATTTCCCACCACACCAGCATGACATATCATGAAAAGATATCAAACAAAAATGAAAAGTTGAACCAGTCAGCTTTACATTATCACAAACGATAAATGAACACTGCGGCCAAAGAGCCTTCATCAGCACATTACGTGAATATATAATATCACGAAATGAAAAAGAATATACAAAATGACTTCACTTAAGTATCTCCAAGAGAAATCACATATCTGTCCTGCCAATTGAATCTCTGACAGCGTGTGTGACTACCGAGAATAAATACTAGCCAGAAAAAGCTGTGAACGACAAGGGCCGTAACTAAAAAAAAATTTAAGATAAAACTGTGTTGGATGTCAAGTCCCCTAGGTGAATTGGAGCCCACTAGATTGTGTTACCAGGGCCTTCAAGGGAAGCAAAGAACAATGAAACTGCATCCTACCAGGCATGTCGTAAGAGGCGAATAAAGGTAGGGTTGGGCTTGAGGTTGGCTGCCTCATCCTGTAAAAACAATAGCCACAAAAACCAACCAAACATGGATTATTCAAAAAGAGAAGCAAGTAAAACCCAGCTAACCAAGATGAGGGGAGGCTCTTCAAGTAGAAGAAGTATGACATGGTGTGGAGAAAGCCGTAAGGAGTTCAGATCATTGACCTACCTCCTCTCAGCTAGGAAAACCTCCAGAACTGGCACCTGGAATGTTAGAACTCTATGAGGAATAAAGGAAGGCCAAAAAACACATGGAGAAGAGAGCTGGAGAATGAAGTTAGAAAAGATGGGGAGGACATGGGGAGAGCTCCATGCAATGGCGAAGGATAGAATGACTTGGCATGAGTTGGTTGAGGGCCTATGCTCCATTGGGGGATAGAAAAGCAGAAGAGAGAGATTGATACAGCAGTTCCTGAGAGACATGATGATAACATTGACACAAGTTGAATAATGATTGAAATCCAGGTTTTTACAAGAGGAATACTAACAAGATGATACAGCGACTTGGTGTGAGCAGGATTAACTGCGATTGAATTCTCATAGCAACTTCTGGCCTCCATAAGATTGCCTTTGTGCTCCAGTACTAGACCTCTCTGTGAAGGAAAATGGTGGACATAGTTAGATAAACAAACAGTTATGAATTCACAAGCTCTTGGAACTTTAACATTAAGAAACATAAGAGTGAAGTATTCATTTGTTTGGGGAACAAAATTATATTGTTAAAGTATAAATGTATGGTAAACAATTCTGACATATTTGGACACAGTAGAATAAAAATTAAATTTCTTTTTTTTTTTTTTTTTTAAATTATCTCAACTGTGACAGAATTCAGGAAAAAAAACTGATTACTCACATCAGAAGTAATGGGTCAATTCACATTCTCTGGGTATGACATGAGAAGGGGAAACAGGAATCTGTCATGACAGTAAGAAATATGGAGGGGAGGAGAGACAGAAGGAGACCAAGGATTAAAAAAAAAAAAAATCTGGCATCATGGCATGAAAGAGCATCTGTATCAGACATTACTTACATGGAAGAGCATCTGTATCAGACATTACTTACATGGAAGAGCATCTGTATCAGACATTACTTACATGGAAGAGCATCTGTATCAGACATTACTTACATGGAAGAGCATCTGTATCAGACATTACTTACATGGAAGAGCATCTGTATCAGACATTACTTACATGGAAGAGCATCTGTATCAGACATTACTTACATGGAAGAGCATCTGTATCAGACATTACTTACATGGAAGAGCATCTGTATCAGACATTACTTACAAGACGGAAGGCTGAGATTAATAATGCTACAAGATATGGACTAAATGAAGAAAAGAAAACAGACTACACACTGGTGTGGGTTTCAAAGCCAGATTTAAGGGGAAAGAACAGGCTCACTTTCCCCTAGAAGACTGTCATGATGGCAACTAATTAGGAGTTTGGTTGAATGCGTTGGGCCAACAGGCGCAGGTTTCGCAGCCTGGCTGTGAACAAGAAGAAGAAGAAGAAAGAGACGAGATTTTTTTACACTGCAGATGCCTGGAAGTTGAGCATATGACCTCTCACGTATTCATTCCTATTGACACTGAGCAAAAGTTTGCTAATTTAAAAAAAAATTAATCCAAAATTCACGGAGGCAACACCACTAACCTAGGTCTAACCACAGCCAGTATGTATGCGCTGTGTTGAATTAAGATCTGATTACATTCTGCCTCTTTGCAGACTTCTTCTTTTCGTACATCCGAGTGATGTGATTGCTCTGTGCCTGTTTACAACAAAGCTGCAATATTTGCACCTTTTATTGAGCATCTTTTGACCGGGTTAACTTCCCAGACAGTTTCAAGGGACATGGCGTTCACTGAATGAAAACTTGTGGAAATTTCTGGTTGTTCATCCACTTCTGGACTTTGGCCTTGTTCCAGAACTGGAGTTTTGTGTGCACCTCCATTCTACAGATCTGGTTTATCTGTATGCAGTTTGCTGGTTCCTTGCCTCTCAGGCAGATGCACTCCAACTTGTAAGGAAACACCCATAATTAGCTGCCTCTTACAACACGCTTGTTAGAGGGCAGTGAGTGCATTCTTTTTTCGCCTCAAGGCCTGGAACCCACAAGGGGAACTCTGCAACAAGATCCTGCAGAGACGGTACTTTGTTGAGAGGACATTCTTTAAGTCAGTGTTTCCCATTCGGTTTCCCGCTGAACATATTTTAGTGGTCTGTATTATATGTTGAAAAGAAACATCTATTTGAAATGTAATATGTCCTCAATTGGGTTCTGCAATCCCAGTTTAAGGTGGAAAGTGTGTGTGGGGGGGGGGGGGGGGGGGGGGGGGGAGAGAGACCACCATCCCCACCCTCCCAATAGGCATGTTGTAAGGGGTGACTACATGGGAAATCAGGCGCAGATACTGTCACCTAGCTGTAACCCACAACACAGTGTGCCAACCACCCTTTTATAAGTGGGCGCCCCAAAAAAACTCAATTATTTTTGTGTCCTAATATTTAAAAATTATAACAAGTTCTTTAATATGACTAATCTTGGAACAAGCCAGACAGCATACAAGAAGTACAGCTACAGGTGTACCACAAATTCAAACAACTCTCACCCAATACTTACCAAAAAGAAGACATATACAGAATGGGGGAAGAGCTGGAATGTCTCCTGGACACACTTTTGTGCTTCGTTCACTTGGTTCAGGCTAAGGTACAGCTCGGCTGTGAGATGAATAACAATCACAATGAGAAGGTAACGTCCCAGACTACATATCTCCTAAAGGAAATGTCTGGTCAATGTGGCGGACAGGCAGGATAAATTAATTTTTTTAAGCTGTGGCAAGTTTTTGTTTTTGACAATAGTTAGCCATTTCCATCATATACAAACTGAAAGGATACAGTTTTGTCGTCCAGCTACTGAGTTGAGTGAATGATGTGACACTGTGAGATGCAGATTTCATTTGGAATGCTACAAGACTATGCCCAACGTAGTTTGTATTGTGAACTGCAGATTCAGAAAATGGCAAGTAGCCTGTTGCCAGAGAACTGGTGGTGTCTTATGCAACTAACTGTGTGTGCAACTACTAAACTGTTGTAATTGCTGCTTCCATTGACAATCAACTGCATTTCTAGCGCTGGACTGTTTGTGCTCGCACTTCTGATGACTGCCTTATGCATTTAATGTGTGCATATGCTACCGGCTTTGTTGAGACTGCCACCTGTGTCAATTTTTTCACAACAGACAGTGATGGGGCAGTCTGTGTGGTTTTTGTTGGCAAAGGAATGGATCAACTTTTGGGTGATCAGTTTCCTATGAAGAGGGAACTGTAATTGCCTGATTTCATAAAGAAACTTAAACACTCATCTCAGGCCAAGTCTTTGTAAACTTATTCACAACTGATTAGATTTTGAATCTAAAGAACTTCTATGCAAAGCGGTAGCCAATCTCACTATTTCATTTGTGTTTAAAGGCTGTCACCTCAATTTTAATGAAAAGTTAAAGCTAAAGTCGAGAGGATCAATTTATTTTCACAGGTTTAACCATATGGCAGCTCTCTCTCTGCAGTCTTGCCAAGTGTGCCGCAGAAAGTTCCACTGACAACCCCTAGGGATATCCATAAAAAGTGCACTCTTGAACCGAATGATGCAGTTGTAAAATAAACCTACGGCCTTCAGAGCAACAGGCAAGGCAAACGGCTTGACCATTTCACCAAGGAGTTTTCCAGAGGATTTGCAAACAACAAATACAACACCAACAATGCTCCATTTTCAAATACAATGCCAAAATGCTAATTTTATAGTACCACTTTTCTCTAGTAAAACACGTGTGCTAGTTTTGTGTACCTGTGGCTACTGAGTTTGTTATGTCTTGTTCTGAGTCTTAAGAAATATCTTATCCAGCCCTGTCCAAAATATACAGTGGTTGGATAGATTACTTTCTGAATGTTTTATTCGATGTTTCTCTCGGTAATATTTCTCTGGAATAACCTGTAACAGTGTCCTAGCACCTTTCTTTAAAGAACATATCAGTGCTCTCATTCTCTGGTATGCAACAATGAGACAGTTTCCTTCCAATGCAGAAAAGTTCTGACATATCAAATGTAACTGTCTGCCATGTAGGTTCGTGGTCACATTTGGGTATGAAGGATAGATGTGGTATCCCTAACAAACATTTAATTAAAGGTGACCTAATTAAAGACTTGCTTAAATAGGATATGTTGGGCTAAAAGGTGCAGATATCGCAGCCTAGCTGCTCTTTTAAGGGTGAAATGAGACAGAAATGAAGCTGTAAAAGGTCGTTAATAAGTCTTACCCAAATTGAGCCAAATTTGTGCCTGGATGACCCATGACCTCTGTGGTCCTGCTCTAGGCTGGAAGCTACTGTTCATTGAGGATGCCAGGTCAGACAATGCTTTCTCCATCCTTGAAGCAGCCACAGACTCAGCTCTGATGGATCCTGAAATATAAACAAACCATAATATGACACCGAAATAGTTCATTATGAAAAGACGGTAAACTGATTTCTCTGGAGAATCTGTTTAAGCTGAAGGTTGAAGACAAAAGGATCAATTTCACTATACCGATTTGTATCCCATATTGATCAGTGTCTTGTCATATAAAGGACAGTCACCTGCCGAGAGCACTGCACAAAGCATGAACACTGCAGCTCCCTTTTCCAAGCCTTCAGGGGTATAAGGCATTTATCAACCAAACAGCACTTGGTGGGTGATGTGGTCAACATCACGCCGGCTGCCTTTACTTCCCAGGACTGCACGTGGTGCCACTCAAAGCTGGGTCCACCTGGGAGACAAGGTCATTTCTGAAGAAAGCTCGGTTCCATCAGGACCCGAACCCAGACTTTTTCAATCTGCAGGTGGGTGTCTAGTCGCTACACCATGGCGACTCCCCTCTTTCACTGTAGTCAGTGACAACAAAGTGAGCTCTGCTCCTCTTTCCCTAGCAACAAACTTTCTAAGAAGTGTACAGAAAAACACTAAATATTCTCTTTAATGGGAGTCACGGTAGTGTAGTGGTGAGACCACTCACCTGCCAGTCTGAAGGTCTTGAGTTCAAATCCACATTGGTGAATTTTACAAAAAATGTACGCTGTCTTCCAGGTTGACCCAGCCTGCAAAGGGTACCCCGAAATGTCCAAGGAAGTAAAGGCAGCAAAACTGATCTTTACCACATCACTAACTTGAGTCCCGACTGGTCTACAAAAATACGAGACTAACATCATATTCCCACATGTGGAAGGAAACTTTCTTCCTTCTAATGCTTTATACAAAACTGCAGCATTTTTTTTCTCTTCAGATTTAACAGTGAGAAAAAAAGGTGAACCTACAGGTAAACAAACACAGTTCCTACCTGAGCCTCTTTCACTGTATTCACTGATGGCAATGTGGGCTATGCTCCTCTTGTCCCACATCTTGTCTCTGGTTCTGTACTTGCTGTCCGATCCACTGGGAAGTTCATCAAAACTGCATGAGGTCACTGTTCGTTTATTTCTCTAAGATTAAATATCTACGCACAGTGATTTTCTTCTTCTTAGCGTTCACACGCTGTAAACTCTGGCAGAGAGTTCTGGTCGTTCGTCCACTTCTAGAGTTTAGTCCTGTTCTAGACCTTAAGTTTTACATGCACATCTGTTTTACAGATCTGGCTTATTTATATGCAGACTGTTGTTTCCTCACCTCTCACGCAGATGCACTCCAATTTCAAAGGAACACCCCTAATCAGCTGCCTTTTACGACATGACTGTTAGAGGGGGGGCAATGGGTCTATTCTTTTTTAATTTTACCCCTACCCCTGAAACCCACACGTGGAGACAGATTCATTCATTGATTGATCATTATTTGTAACAATATAAACAGTGGAGATACAAATTGGCACAATGATACATACTCGTCTGCAGTATCCATTTCATGCAAATCTTTCCATAACTTCAACATCTTCTGATAGGTAGCCAATGCTTCTTCAGAACCCAACACAATCTTCTGAAGTTTAGCTTTAGTCATCAGCAAACTGAAACATTCAAGTAATAGAAAGAAGAAACAGAAATTAATAATAATATGTGGAAGAAGTTGTACTGTAACGAGCAAAAGTTCTAAGAAGAAATGGGTAAATGGATGAAGTAAAAATGGATAACATCTTGCAGAAATCTGGTATTTTTGCCCTCAACAGAAAAAAATCTCCATCCCTTATTGAGGAACAAACCAAGGTCTCCTATATGACAGCCCAGAGTTCTATGCCCTCAGCCAGCCACTGAAAAAAATTATAGTGATAAAACACACACATCTTTTACATGTCTTTTCAAAGCAAAGGCGGTTGTAAAACATACATATCTTCATCTTTTCCTCTCTTTTTAGTGCTCACCACGTGTGAATTCCAGTGGAAAGTGCTAGTTGTTAATAATGTCTGGACTTCGGCCTTGTTCTAGAACTTGAATTCTGTGTGCACATCCATTTTACAGATCTGGCTCTTTTGTATGCAGACTGTTGGTCCCTGGCCTTTCAGGCAGATGCACTGACTATGAAGGAATGAAGGAAACAAACCATAATTAGTTGCCTTTCACAACATGCTTGTAAGGGTGGCAGTGGGTCTACCCCCCCCCCCCCCCCCCCCCCCCCCCCCCCCCAGTGGGTCTACCCCCCCCCCCCCCCCCCCCCATCAAATAGGCCCCCGGAACCCACACAAGGAATAGACACCTCTCCTGACCTTAAATTATCCGGATACTCCTCCAGAGCAGCAAGTACTAAAGTCATGGCATCCTCATGTTGCTTTCGTGCTGACAACAGCAAAGTAAGGAGGTGCAAAGAATGAATGAAGTCGCTGCGATGTTTGAGTGACAGCTTTGTGTAAGCTACAGCTTCATTTATCTGCAAAGAAAATATTTCAATATCAGTATATGATATGGGTGCTGAGATGGCTCGGGGGAAAACTATCAGTTTTTGAACATTACAATAAAATCATATTTTCCATCCAAAACTGGAAAACTTACCAGTGGCATATCTTCTGCATATCTATTGGTGTTATTGAAACACTGTCCCTCTACCACTTGCAGATGGAGATAATATAAAAGAGGTGCTTCCGTGCTGACAAACCAAACCAAACAGTTGCGAAAGGATAGCAGAATCTGCTTTTACTTGATGCCATATCTCCCTCCCTCCCTCTCTCCCCCTCCCTCCCTGTCTCTCTCTCTCTCTCTCTCTCTCTCTCTCTGTCTCTGTCTCTCTCTCTCTCTGTCTCTCTCTCTCTCAAGAGTATCTGATATTTCACTGTGGACACATAAAGAATGTGAATACAACAAGAAAAATAATTTGTTCAGCAAACACATGGCCTAACACTAGATATTTTTAGAAATCTCTTTACCACTCCCCACACCCAACATACTGGTGTCCAGACATTTCATCATCATCATCATGTGCCCTGTCAACTGGCGTAGGCGCTCATGCGCCTCCACAGATCACGATCCCTGGTTGACTGGAACAGCTCTCTTGATGGTATCCCTCCATGCCATCCTTTTAGCCCATCTAGCATCATCTCTCTTGGTCTGCCTCTACCACTTTTTCCGCTGATCTTTCCAGTTGTCACGATGTTCTCCAATGTCTCTCTTCTCGTTATGTGGCCAAAGAACAGTGTTTGTCTTTTTCTTATTGTTGTATACAGCGATCTACTTTCACTAGCCTCTTTCCAGCTTCCAGACATTTAGGGGTTAAAAGAGGCAGTGTGCACAAAAATTTAATAAACTCAATTAGAGTTCTATACAGATTCCTCTAGCACCCTTTCATGCCTCACCAGTGTCACAATCTACACCACAGATGAAGCATTTCTTCCCCCCACCTCGCCCACCCTCTCTATCTTTCAACATAACATGTTTTGATGATTTTTTTTTTAAACACACTGGGAGTGTGAAAGATGAGTGTGTGCAAGAAGCCAAATGGCCTGCCTGCCCAATGTGTGACCCCTCAAAAATAAAGTTCATCCGTTCGTTCTCCCCAACCCCCTTCCCCTCAACACAAGCACCTCCTCTGAGATCACCATCTTACTGTGAGTTTTACAAACATACCCTTCTGAGATTAGCAAACTGCAGGGCTAGATGGAATGCAGCCAGATAGTCTTGTGGGTCAGATTCATGAGCACTGTTTGGATAATGGATAAGGATACAGTTAGTAGTCAGTAACATTCTCTGACATGGTGTTAACTTCTTCTGTACCCGCACAAGTATAGCATAACTCAGTTACTCTCTTCCCCCTCTCAGCAGTGGTAGTGAGTGTGCTGGCAATGAAGTCCTAAAACCCCTTTGGAGCAGGAGCAGAGTGTATTGTGGCTGTGCGGATAATGACCGATTGATTTAGGAGCCTTGACCATGCTGCCTTTTGAATGTTTTGATCGTGTAACTCACCATCCCGGAAGATAGAATCTTGTCAGCAGGGGAATGCAACTGTCTAGAGTGCAACCTCGTTAAAAGCTGTCCCCAGAAACCAAATGTGTCAATCATTTTTTTGTGTGGAGGAATTGACACATACGGTTAACTCAATGGCCCGTGTTCACCCTTAACAGGGGGATTGCCACACTATGTTGTCATGTACAGATACGTTGTTTTATCAGTGTATTTTTCCCAACATATCAGCAAATCTTAATTAATTGCCTTTCATGAAAAGCAAAATTTCAGAGCTGTTTTTCTTTTTCTTTTTTTTCCCTAAAAAGTAGGTCCCCAAAACCCACCCGAAGAAGTTACATCTCAATATGCCTCTCAACATGAAGAGATGAAAAGCATAATGAAGATGTTTTAAAATAAATTAACTTACACAAAAGAGTTGGTTACCCATAATAGGAGGAAACTTCTTCATCTCATTCTCCCTGTTCCCCATGTGAGTCCAAGGTCCCATTTTGGGATTGTTCATTTGCTTCCAAGGGGCCTTATCGCCACCAGTGCTGCAGCACCAGTCAATCTATCTGTCTGTTAATTTCCCAACACACATGCATACCATCAAGTCACCGCTCAGGGATGCAGCACCAGCCAACCTGTCTGTCTGATCAGTTCCCAATACACAGATATCAAATGTATGATAAAGCTGATTAGGTCATTGAGACTGTTCTGGATGACAGATGGAACCAATCGACATACTCTGGGTGATGTTTGACACGGGGAAAAACTGCAGTATACTGTGACAACAAGAAAGTTAGAGAAGAAGAGTGACAGGGGAAGGCAACAAGAGAAGATGTTAAGAGAGTCTAGCATCATCACATTAAAAAAAAGCCTGTATTTAAAAAAAAAAAAAAAAAATCCCTGACAGTATATGAAACAAAAGGCTAGGGAGAGATATGACCAATGCCACACTGCATGTCAAGTTCCACTCCTGGCTTTGCGCTTCTTTTGCACTTACAAGTTTATTAATTTAAAGAACAGCTGCTTGTGATAGAAACAAAGTAAATACTCTAAGGGAGATAAAAACAAAAAGGTAGAGCAACAGAATATGGTGACATTTTTTTTTTCGGCAGGTGACTGTACAGCACACAAGGAGTAATGAGGTCAGTATTATGTCAGCTACCCTTACCTTACCCAGATAAATCCCTGATTTGAAATGCACTTAGAGAACTTAAAACAAGCTAAGAAATCTGAGTTAAAGCACAACATAACAGCTGCCATAAAATATAATCACAGCTTATTTAATTCTTTCATCTCTGATAGGATTAGTGTCATGGCTTTAGAAACGCTTTTATAAGGTTAGCCACTCTAAATAAAAGTTAAAGTTGAGAGGATCAAGTTCATTGCACTGGGTTTTATCCCATACAGATCAGTCTCTCTCCACAGAACAGCTGAGAGTGTCACACAAAGCATACATTCTGCAACTCCAGCGACAATCCCCGTAGGATTTTGACAGAAACTGCATCGAGAACTGAACAAATGCAGTCTGTGAAATTGATACATTCACAGCATGAGGCAAATAGCTGGATTAGACATAACATCTCACAAACAATCATATTTACTAAATACAATCAGCTAGCTAATCCAACATTGGGAAATGTAACTAAAATAAAAAATAAAAATTTTTTTAAAAAGCATAAAAACAAATAGTTACGGAATAAATTCAATTAGTCAATGCAACTTATCCCTGTGTGGGTCCCAGAGCTCCATTGTGGAAAATGAAGAACAGACCCACGCCCACCCCCCTACCCTTTTTTCCCAACAAGCATGTCATAGGAGGCAACTAATCAGGGGTGTTTCCTTTAAAGTCAGAGTGAATCTACCTGAGAAGAAAGGATCAACAGCCTGCATACAAATAAGCCAGATGTGGAAAATAGATGTGCTTGCAAAACTCAGGTTCTGGATCAAGACCAAAGTTCAGAAGTGGATAAACAACCATAACTTTCTGCCGGAGTTTACTACAAGTGAATGCTAAGGAAAGAAAAGAAGAAGAATATAACTTACATTTTAAAAGCTTTCAGAGCCCTCTGGTTCAGTTCCTGCCTCTCTGCTAGCAGCTTGGACTCTTTGGCAACCAGGCACAAACCTATACCCAAAGCCATGTGTGACCTGGCAGTCTGTATCAAAGTCCCTTTACAGTTGATGGCAGCCTCCGCCCACTCAACCCCTTGCTGGTAATGCTGTAGATACTCATAACAGAGTTGTGCTGCCTGCAGGCATACACACACATTCTGTGGTGCCAGCCGATGACATTCTGCTAAGACAGGAAGTGCTTGGGAATGCTGGGGAAAAATAGCAAAAGTATTTCAGGACTAATGATTTAAAGTCTATAAAGACAATGCTGACATCTATTAAGAGTGCAGTTTTATAATTCTGACATACTAGAGTGCAAAAAATCAGCTGCAGGTTACTAATTATCAGCAGACCATACAGCGTTGATTTTTTTCTTCATATTCTTTTTTACACTCACCGGCTGTAATCACAGGTTGAAAGTTCCAGTGATTCTTCCACTTCTGGTTCCAGAACTTGAGTTTTGTGTGCGCACCTTTTTACGGATTTGGCTTATTTTTATGCAAATTGTTGGCTCCTCTCAGGCAGATGCACTCTGACTTTGTAGGAAATACTAATTAGTCGTGCATGTTGGGGTGAGGTGAATGCATTCTTTTCTTTACTTCCCCCAAAATGGGGCCCCAGAACCCACATAGGGTGAGTTTATTTTAAAACCCACTTGAGCATTGTACCGCAACGACACACTACCGAAGTCATAATTGTTTACTAAAACCAAAAACAGCCAACAAATGCTGGGAGTTGGTTTACAACCTGCTAAAAAAGGATATGCAAATAAATTTGTAAAGGCAAAAGGATTGACTTTAATGCACCAGATTTGATTGCATGTAACCTGGTCTTTTTCCATTATTATCCACTTCCCGTCCTTTTTAGGATGACATTTTTTGTTATTTGAAGCCCTACTCTGGCTCTTGCCAGTGGCCGCAATATAGCCTGGCCATAAATATGGCCTAAAGGCTGAAAGCGGTTTCTGGGACCTCTCCACAGTGATCCTCACCCACATGGTGGCACATTGTGTGATGTCCTGGTGGGGTAGAAAGTCAGTCAGTCAGTCTTTTTCCACAGAAGAGTTTATCTGCCAAGAATATTGTACAAAGCATGAAGTTACAGTGACAGTCTCCATGAATCTCCAAATACATGCATTTGCGAACCAAAGTGGGGAGATCAAGACCAAAAACACATATCTTGGCGCATGAGGCAAAAGACTTTACCACTGAGACCTGTGACTGTTTAGATCTGACTGTTGCTTCATCCATTACTAACAGAAGAAATGAGAACACTCAAAGTCAGAGTTAGGATGGAGGATGCAACTCATAGCTTGACTGCCAGATATATCCCACCTCTACTTCCCAAGAAAGTTTTCCCAGCAAAATATTACCAATTATTCCTATCTTTACGCTTGATAGAATCTAAGTGGTCTTTGACATGGTCTTCTGTTATGTATGTTTTCACAATCAATTCACTGCACACTGGGCATTCCCATGTACTTCTACTAACTGTTCCCATGAAGGGTTGTTTATAATGCCTATCAAAGGCGGCATAGACGTGCTTCACCATGCTTTACTCCCATGTCATGCAATCATGCCAGTGCCAGTGATTCATTATTATGCACCAGTCCAGTCCATACAGTGTTGATGTCTTCTCTGTCCATGCTTCTTCCTATACGCATTAGTGCCTTGCTTGCCAATTGTCCTATAGGTGTATGGTCTCAGGCAGATTACTGGCAATTATAGCTCTCCAATCCTCTCTGTCACATAATACTGACATAAATATGGAGCTTATATAATCATTTTTGCCCAGCAGTTTCTTGATTCCACTACTTCTTGGATATGCCCCAAAAAATGTAGTGTATCTTTATGGTTTTAATGAGTGATCCATCAACTGATCCATCAGTTTGTCCCCTCTTGGCTGCTACCAAAAGGTTTACTGTACCATCCTGAAACTTAAAAATCTCAATATAGACGGCAGACCCAAAAGGCAGATCCCAGATACCTTGTTCAACCTCGAAATAAGTTATAATTAGGGGACTGGTAACAGCTATACCAGCTGAGTGTAACCTGCAGTGCTATACAGGAAAGGACCTAATGAGTGATCTGGCACAGGCAGCTTTCAAGGTTTCAGGGTTCCTTTCTATCCATAATGTTTGTCTTGAATTTGTCCAGTGATCTAGTAGTCATACCACACATGGCATACATTACCATATTATGGACAGACCAGAGCAAGTCATTATCCTTCGCCTTAGAACAGGGCACAATCGACTTCGCTGCCACATGTACAACAGATTTAAGATTGGCCAATCAGCCATGTGTACCTGTGGACTGGCACCTGAGACAACAGATCACATCCTCTAAGAATGTCCCAGATTCAACACTTCCAGGCAAAACTTCTGGCCAAAAGAGACACTTGTGGAAGTCAAACTTTACGGGCCGCTTAGTGAATTACAAAAGACAGTGAAATTCACACTAGAGACAGCATTGCAGACATAGATCATTTATTTCATGCGAACGAAAGAAGAAGAAGAAGAACATGGCATACACCAAATGAGAAGGATGTAGGGCATGAAGCAGACCAAATTAAATATGGAAAGATAACATCAGAGAAACTCTACAACGGCACAATGTGCCTATAGTTGAGGGGGCTAGAACAGTAAGAAGCAGAATCTTATATCTCCCTCGACACCCGAAGCAGTAAAAGAGGAAGTGAAACAGAGAAGATTTAATGCTAGGAGGGACATAGAGCAAAGAAAGCAGTGGGGGAAAAAAGGAGGGTGTGTGATGACAGACTTCTGAATGGCAAGAGTATTCTATTTTTAAATGAAACACATTATTAAAGAAACTGTCTTGAGCATTAAGGTCACACAATGAAAGTAACCCCAAGTGAATAATGTGGTGGTTCTTCAGTCTTGCAATCGATTTCATGTTACCACTTATGTCATTCCCTTGTGGGATGCAAATTTTTTGTTATTCTGAAGCCCCACCCTGGCTTTTTACGGGGGGCCCTAAAAATAGCCAGGCCATAAATATGGCCTAACAGTTGAACAGGGTTTCTGAGACCTCTCATAGGGTGATCCTTATCTGCGTGGTGGCACCTTGTGTAAAAAAGTGTTAACTGCTTGTGTGATGTCCTGGTGGGGTACAACTTACCGACCTACTTTCATGTTACCACAGCCTGCTGTGTGTACATAAATGTTAAAACTTAACTGAGGTCATAATTTACTCACCTTGCCTGATGATATCAAAGAGTTGGCAAACTGGTACCAGATATGAAACTCTTGAAAAGAAAACCTCATGGCCTTATCAAAGGACTGGAACAAATATGCATAAAAATAAATATTATACCTCAAATTTTAAAGCAGAGTAATATAAATAGAGAACTGTCTATGGCAGTGCAGCATCTAGTTTCAATGGTGCTAGACTCATATTATATACCAATCAGCATTCAATGGATGATGTAGTCAACATCATGTCGGCTGCATTTACTTCTCAAAACAATTCCTTGTACTCATTTTCGGCTGGATCAACAGGGAAGCCAAAGTTAATTTTTTGTTTAAAACCAGACAGATGCAGGTTTAAACCTTTGAGCCAGCAGGCTCTTTGAACTGCTCCAAAGGACCATAGATGACTGTCACGATGAAATTATCCTCCTAGGAGATCTAAATGCCAGAGTAGGAAATGATCACTCTAGATGGGGTGGAGTGATTGGGAGATATGGTGAAGATGTTTTGAATGATAATGGCAAGCGACTTCTCAGATTCTGCAGGGAACAGAACCTTGTCATTACAAACACAAAATTCCCCCACAAGCGTATACATGCATACACAAGATGTGAACCTTCAAAGAATGAAAAATCCATCATTGACTACGCCATAGTTAGGAAAAGTTCATTCAAGTTTGTGAGAGATGCCAGAGTCATGAGAGGACCAGAGATTGGAAGTGACCACTATCTGGTCACAATAAAGAGAACAACTGAAAGAACTGCTCCAACAAGGCAACACCGACAACCATGCAAGAAACCAAGCAACCAAGAAGGGATGAGGATTAAAGCATACAAGCTAAGAGAGCCAGATATTAAGGCTAGAGACCAGGAGCTTATAGTGAAAGCAATAGGAACTGAAGAAGAATCATCAGAGGACACTGAAACCCTCTGGTGCAGATTCAAGAATATCCTCACAGCAGCTGCAGTAGAAGCATGTGGTGAAGTCCCAAGTGGAAGGCGGGGACACAGGACACCTTGGTGGACAGAAGAAGTCAAATTGAAAATAGGAGAAAAGAAAAGGGCATGGAAGCAATACCTGGCAGCCAGGAACACAGCTGAAGAAATAGAAAAATATAAACAATATCTGGCACAATATGTGGAACAGAGACCCAAAATATTGTGCTTAAAGCAAAACAGAAATCATGGGAAGAGTTTGGAGAAAAGTTGGAAAAGAATGCAAGAGAAAACCAAAAACTTTTCTACAAGACCCTTAAGAACATGAGGAAGGAGAAAGAGTGCCCACTTAAATTCATAAAAGACAAGGAAGGGGCTCTGATTACTTCTACAAATGATATCATGGGCAGATGGAAAGAATACTTCTCAGAGCTCCTCGGCGTTGAGGGAAGTCATGACCCAGAAATAATGGACCTCACTGCTAAGAAGGAATTCAATCATGGGGATGATAACATCAGGATGGAAGAATTGAAGGCAGCTATTGAGAGAATTAAGCTGGGAAAAGCAGCAGGTCATGATGGTATAACACCAGAGATGGTCAAATATATGGGAGTCGAAGGTGAGCGCCTTCTACTGAAGGTTCTCCAGGCAGCCTGGTGTAGCAAAACTATACCAGAAGATTGGGAGATTGCCATCATTATACCTATATTTAAAAAAGGTGATAACAGACAATGTGAAAACCACAGAGGCATATCCCTCCTCAGCGTTCCCGGTAAAAGTTACTCTAGAATTCTTGAGCAGAGACTTAGAAGTCTGGTAGAGCCACAGCTGGACGAGGCCCAATGTGGCTTCAGAGCAAACCGAAGTACTCAAGACCTTATCTCCAGGCAGCCTGGTGTAGCAAAACTATACCAAAAGATTGGGAGATTGCCATCATTATACCTATATTTAAAAAAGGTGATAACAGACAATGTGAAAACCACAGAGGCATATCCCTCCTCAGCGTTCCCGGTAAAAGTTACTCTAGAATTCTTGAGCAGAGACTTAGAAGTCTGGTAGAGCCACAGCTGGACGAGGCCCAATGCGGCTTCAGAGCAAACCGAAGTACTCAAGACCTTATCTTCACACTGAGACAGATGAGTGAAAAAGCCCTGGAATATAAGAGTGAGATGCACTTATGTTTTTTGGATCTGGAAAAGGCATTTGACAAGGTACCCTGGAACAAGCTCTGGGACTGCTTGGCAGGGAAAAACATCCCAGCACCCCTGATCAGTGCAATACAGTTTCAACAAAAAGTGCAGAAATTATGTAAGAACAGCAGACCAAAAGTCAGAAGAATTTAAGACCACCAGCGGTGTTAGACAAGGTGATATTCTCTCACCTTACCTCTTCATTCTTATGATGGATGATGTCATCAAGACCTGTAAGGAGAAGACAAAGAAGTACTCTGTAGGGTACTGGAAGATGAGACCAATCTGTATATCAGAGCTGGCTTTTGCAGACAATGTGGCCCTGATAGCTAAATCAGAGGCACACCTTTAGTCCAACTTACTTGTCTGGAAGGAAGCGCTTGAAAAGAAAGGGATGACCATCAGTGTCTCCAAAACTAAAACCATGGTGATCTCAAGAGAGGAGAAGAAACACCAGATCATGATGGGACAGTATGCGTTGGAGCAGGTTAACCAGTTCAAATACCTTGGAGTTGTATTAGACCAAAATGGAGGCATTAAGACTGAGCTGGCTACACGAAAAGCAGCTGCTGGGAGACTCTTCCAGGCCATAAACCGAGGGTTTCTTAGCAAAAGAGAAATTGGCAAGAGGACGAAAATGGCTGTTTACCGCTCTACCTATGTACCAGTCCTGACCTATGGGTGTGAGTCATGGGCAATGACAACAGCTCACAGAAGCCAGCTGCAGGCCTCGGAAATGAGATACCTGAGAAAGGTGGTCCAAGTGACAAGAAGGGACAAAGTCCGCAATCAGACAATACGTCAAGATCTTGATACCCAGATCTTATTAACCCGAGTAGATCAGTCACAGTTACGATGGTTTGGACATGTATGCAGAATGGGAGAAAATCAGCCACCATGGCAAACATGGGAGGCTAAGAACCAGGGAACCAGACCTCCGGGACGACCCAGGGTGCGCTGGGAAGACAACATCCGACAATCCCTAACTGACAGAGGACTGGAACAAAGCCAGAAAGAAAACTGCTGATAGAGACGTCTGGCGATCTCTCTGGCAAACCTCTAAACCCCAAGGTAGAAGAGGAGCGACTAAGTAAGTAAGGTTATATAAACTTTTGGACACTGAAAATGACCATTAAGAAGCAAAAGTTATCACAATATTTTGTCACTACATATCATTGCAATCTACAAGGCATATGTGTGCAAAATTTCAGCATTATAGCTTATCAGGAAATAGTATAAAAATCAAACGCAAACAGCCATCCAGTCAAACATAATAAAAGCTTATAAAATGAGAAGATACTGAAGCTAGTAATAAGTTTCTCTCCTATCTTGAAACAGATCTAAAAACATAACGGTGGAAGTAAAACAGAAGCAGTCATATGTAATCTAATAACCTGGATATTCAAGGTGCAACTTGAGCCTATTTCAGAATGTATCAGATTGCTATCTGTCCACAAAATCTTACAATAAAAATGTGTCCTCGTCTATTACCACAATGTCATTACCGACACATAAGGCATCCATAAGTGAGCTCAACTGCTGCCAATCTGCTGTTTTCCTGCACATGGTAACCCATGTCAATTTGCATTTGCTTACTTCCATTTCTAACGTCCTTCTCCAGGTCGCCTTAGGTCATCCATGTTTCCTTTTTCCATCTGAGAGCTGTCCTTGCCAAAGTGTCACAAGCCATTCTGCACACCGGTCCAAGCCATCTCCATCTTCTTCATTATATAACATTTGCAAAATATTTGCAGGACTCTCGTTTGACATTTATCTTACAGCATTCTTTTTCTTCTTCTTCTTCTTCAGCATTCCAAGTCCTGGAGGTTCACTGCTGCAGATATCACCCGCCTCCATTCACATCTCTAGTTGTCCTCCTCTTTCCAGTCTTACAGCATTATTTATAATATATCAGATAACAGTTATTTAAAATATTTACTGTACACATACCTCTGTAAGTCGTCCAAACTGTCCTCGTTTGACCAGGATAAGAGCCAATAAGTCATAAATGGCAGTGATGTTTGTTACCGTTAACTTGTGAATTTCTTCTTTTCTTTCCAAAACTGCTTCTCTTGTTCCCTGTTGGAAGAAAGAAGAGATCACAATTAGTTCACTAAAATTTAAAATAAAAATCATTAAAACACAATACCTTCTTCTTCTTCTTTGTGTTTACCAGCTATAAACTCTATAAAGTTCTTGTTGTTTGTCTACTTCTGGACTGCAGTCCTGTTCCAGAACCTGAGTGTTGCATGTGCATCCTTTTACAGCTCTGACTTATTTGAATGCAGACTGCTGGTTCCTTGCCTCTCAGACAGATGTACTCCAACTCTGAAGGACACTCCCAATTATTCGACTCTTAAAACATGCTTTTGGGTAGGCAGTGGGTCTATTCTTGTTTCCCTATAACAGGAACCCGGAACCCACACGGGGAAAACACAATATCATTTGTGTTTTCCTCCTCCTGGCCTGGTACTAAAGTACCATACCTAAAGAGACTGTTGTAGAGTTCCTTTTCCATCTGCAAGTTTAGAAGCCAGCAGGCCATGCAAAACTAACTTAGTTAATGTTTATGACATGCTTGTTAGGGGTCAGTGGATCTATCCCTCTCCCCCTTTCCCTTCCCCAATGTGGTCCCAGAACCCACACAGGTAAAGTTATGATTCAGTAAATCTCCTACAGACAAGTCACAATTAGGTCTATGTTTAACTGTTTTCCCCAAAGGTTTTAGGTGTATGTGTTGTTTTTTTTAACCCTACCAGACCTGAGGCCCTGAACCTAACTGTCCCTTTAACCTGAGCTACTGGGCATTACCGTGAAAAAACCAACATGATATACAAAAATATTAGTTACATGCAAACGAGTGGCTAGAATATGATGAAACTTGGAGACATTGTAGAAAATAGGCTTACCAATTATCTAGCGCCAATATTCCACCTTTGTGTGTGAATTCACTCATCAGGATCAACTTTGTTTCACAAAGTGAACACCAGATGTTGCTGTTTGATGGACACACCCCCGTCTCCTACTATCGATCTATTTCAAGATTTATAATTTTCAAGATTGTCCTCAACATTCGCGTTCTCACTGACAGTGTCACTTCAAGAACATATTCTTTATGAAATTATCACAGATAATGAATATATATATATATATATATATATATATATATATATATATATATATATATATATATATATATATATATATATCACAGAGTGTGAATAAACCTAAGTATTGATCACCTGTTGGACTGTGTAAAGCCTAGAACTTGGCTCGTTTCATTTTGAACTGTCATAATTTTTCCACGTAAAACAACACAAATATAATCCACACATGCGGGCAGACATTTGCAATGTATAACAAGGAGGATTGATAACGATTGGGTGGTTATTTTTAGTCCGTGGCGCATCGTTTTCCCGTACTACGCAAAAAAACAAAAATTAGGGCCAGCGGTATAGAGACTGATTAAGAAATCCCCGGTAAACCGGGCCAGCGGTCTGGTAGGGTTAACAGAGCCCAACCCAACACTCATAGCAACAATATAAAGGTTAAAACTTGTTTTCCACAAAGCTAACGTCTCCCCAGTAAAGAAATGATCAAATGATTAGCAAATTTAGTTTGAAGTACTTACCACTGCCTCTGCTATCAGGAGCAGTAAAAGCACTTCCTCGTCCAAATTTTTAGGAATGAACAATCTGGCAAGTACATTTAAAGAATGTGTCAGAAATATGGTTTCTGTGTTATGAAATGATTAATTTTTACTTTCTTTCTGCTTTATTATTTATTAAACAATTTTTTTAGCAGCAGTGTTTGTAAAGTTTAATAGTTTTGTATTTTTGTATTCACCGGCTGTAATCTCTGGCAGAAAGGCCTAATTATTTGTCCAATTCTTGACTTTGGCTTTATTCCAGGACCTGAGTTTTGTGTGTACATCCATTTTACAGATCTGTGCAGTCTGTTGTTTCCTTGTCTATCAGGCAGATATATGACTTCAAAGGAAATGTCAATCCTATCTCTAGGATCACTGGAGCAATCTGTAGGCAATCTGTACCTTTTGTATCATCAAGAAGGATTTTGCCAGTTAGGGTTTACTGAACCTGTGTATGTCTTCAGCAGGAGACTCCCATGCGCTTCACTCATTTTGCAGGTGAAGTACAGGGCATCCTTTAAACACAATGGATCTTAATTTTCCTGGCGATCGAAATCAACTTACCACTACAGAAGTAAAGGGTCCATTTAAATCCATGAGGTATAATCGATATCTGGTGCAACCAGCATATTTATGAACAAACAGGAGACAGGGTCAGTATTGTGCTAGCCATATTTTATTAGCCAGGTATGGTGCTGTTCACGTTTCCAGGCCCAGGATTAGAGTAACTTCCCTTGCCATTCGTGCCTCCTTAGGTCACTGGAACTCTCCTATGTTGCGGGGAGTCATGTTTTCCATACTGTGAGCGGTGTAACCATTACCTCTTTTCCTGCCCTCTCACTGCTCGCTTGCGTGATTATTTTCATGTTCTGCAACCTGCGCGATAGTTCGGGGGTATGGAAACAGCGATATTTTTCTATTCCTACGCTCCTTGTAACTGCTTTCTTTTTCTCGGGGAAGCACCTGCCAACAAACGTAGAAGTATAAAAACATCCCAGTTTCGATAGCCAAGAATCGTCAAGCCTGCAGCACTTCCCCCTGCAGTACTTCTTACTTGTACACTGGCACCTGCGGTACCTGAAATAGACTCATAATCTCCCACAAACATTACATACGCCGAGCGAACACCAAACCAAGTTATATCATAACACCCCAGCAACATAGGAGAGGTCCAGTGACCTAAGGAGGCATGAATGGCAAGGGAAGTTACTCTAATCCTGGGCCTGGAAAAGTGAACAAGTCTCCGGGCATTTTTCTGGTGCCCATTTTAGACTGTGTTGATCTGAGACTGCAGATACAGAGGTGACTTCACAAAATAAGGTTTCAAAGAGTGTTACATATTTAAGATCATCACACATCCCTTTAGGTTACATCACTGAACTTAAGTTACAGTTAGTCAACAGGAATTATTGAGACTACAATACACTTACACTTATAAAAGTGACTGAGAGTAGACATAGCTTTTAACTTTGTAAATATTTATCTTGCACGTATTGTTGCTATTTCCTGTACCTCTGCTGTCCTTTAATTGCATGTGGAAATGTAGATGGATTGGTAACATTATAGATATTCTACACTGCAGGACATGGTTTGGTAACATCACAACTGTATGGAATGTAGATGGATTGAAAACATCAGATATTTTCTGTCGGATATGAAGATGGGCTGGTAATAAAAGAGACGTCCTTCAACTACAGGGAAAGTGGATGATCAGAGGAACACACATCTTCACACAAAACCACAATCATGACAAGCATGAACCAGAAGATAATGAATGCTGTTTCTTCAATCTCCCAGAGGACAGACAGGACAAGGCACATAATTTTCTTTTCTCTTCTTACTTTTCTGAAGAATATATACATGGCTTAGGTGTCCTTGTATCCTTGTTCAGCCCTTTGTCATTGACATCAAGTGGCTTATATGAAGATACACTACAGGACCGCAGCAGCAACTGAGCCAGTTCTAGAGCTAATGTCTGAAATACATCATAGGAATAAATCATTTATTGCATCATTTTAAAATATGGCAGGGAAAACCCTCATGTTAAATTCTTAAATGAATCTCAGGGGCAGTGCCAACCCACTTGGGTTCGAGGGCTCCATTTTGGTTTTTTTTTTTTAAATAGACCCTCAGCCCCTTAACAAGCATATCATAAATAGTTGCTAATTAAGGATTTGCTTAAATCAGATGTGTGAGGTCAAAAAGCACATATACTACAGCCTAGGTATAAAGCACCGTAAAGCACAATACAACATTTTAAGGGCATACGTAGAAAAAAGAAGAAGAAATACACGATTCAAATGCTTTTTAAAAAAAATATTCATACCAGTCTTCAACCTGAATAATGTACCAAGACATTTACACACACAAAACTAATCTCTCAGAATTATCAACTAAATAAAGAAAAATGTTTCATAGTCTTAAAAAATAAAATTACATTAAATTTACATAAGTTTTTTGTTTGCATATTCTAATAGCGTGTTGTTGACAATAAATCTGAAATAATATAGTTACTCTTACATAAATTACATTAAGTTTTCTTCCTCTTCTTCTTCACGGTCACAGGTTGTAAGCTCCAGCAGAAAGTTTTGGTTGTTCGTCCACTGCCAGACTTTAAGTCTTGCTCCAGATCTTGAGTTTTGTATGCACATCTGTTTTATACAACTAGCATTTTGGTAAGCAGACTGTTGGTTCCTCGCCTCTCAGCTGGACTCTGACCTCGAAGGAAACACCTCTAATTAGTCATCTTTTACAACATAATTGATGGAGGGGAGGTGGTGGTGGGGGAGGGGGGGGGGATTGGGTCTATTCTTTTTCCCTCCAAAACAGGGACCTGGAACCCACACAGGGATTAAGTTTAAATTATCTTTAAACTTCAGAGCAGACGTGATAGTTTAGAAAACTTGTACCAAGGTGCTGTTAATAGAACAAAATACACATACATTTCTATTCACATATTTAATATCAGTCGTCTCAATTCTGAAGAATAAAAATGGTCAACAACTAACAAAGTGGGATATGTCAGATATCTCAAAATCACTGAGATACAATAGATCCCGTCTCACTGGACCATACAAGATTATAAAGGCTAACAAACTGATAATGATATAAAGTAAACTAATGCAAAAAAAAAAAGCTGAGAGTTTTATAAGAAGCTACTATACACCTGTAGAACTAAAGTGAAAATAAGCATGCTAAAACAGCTTTACTAAAAGAATCAAAAATTTTTTTTTTATTAAATAACAGTTACTAATAATTACAATCTTTCTTTAAAGGGTGCCTACACAGAGTAGAAGAAATCAAAAAGTTACAGATAAAAGTTTAAAACAAGTTCAACAATGTCACGTATTAAATGACCCCAATTTTGAAACACCTGGCTATCCAAAGAGAGACAAAAACACAAATTATAAATGCAATCTTCATTCCAACCTTGTGCTATCAGTGTTAATACTTAGACATCAAGAACAAGATGGAAAGATAACGTCAGAGACACTCTAAAACAGCATGAAGTGTCTATGGTTGAGGCAGCCAGAAGAGCAAGAAGAACAACCTTACATCTCCCTCAACACCCAATGCAGTAAAAGAGGAAGTGAAGAAGAAGATATCCAAGAGTCAAAGCAGTTCTATAGCTGTAGTTATAAAGCTAACAATGCCAATGAGATGTGAAGATTAGGCTTTCACTTCTTCTAGGTCTATGAGGTGATAATGTTACCAAAAATACGAACCTTTCTAATCTCTTGAGTAAATCTAGATTCAACAGCTCGAAGCATTTCTCTGTATCGATTAATACACTTTGTTATTTCCCTGGTTAAGAAAAAAGTGAAGCAAGTATGAAAATCTTTACAAAGTGTCAAATCACATGCTTAAATTCCCCCACCCACTACACACACACACACACACAAATCTTATTTGTGCCAGTCCTTTAAAAGGCGAAGGAGTCTAAAGCCATGTGGATTTGGAAATCAGGGGGGAAATACCACACTATTATCCAAAGAAAACTATAGAAGCCTAAAAAAACTAAAAATCTTGTTATCATTAAGAAAGAAAATACAGACTTTTGAGTTGAAATGCTATAGAAAGTTTCTCAGATTACTATGGACCAAGAAAAAAAATACTGACATTCTAAAAGATCTGAAGATGAAGGAAGACTGACTAGTAAAGAGCTCCCTGCCTCAGAAACTGATATATTTTGCCCATATCCAGTGTCATGGTGGATTGGAAAGAACAACAGCAGAAGTCATGGTAGCACAAAAGAGAGGTAGGAGCTAAGAAACATGAATATTGGCACAGGATATAAATAACACCTTATGTAGGAAAGTGCATGAGGTGGGAGACCTGGTAAGAGACAAAGGATCTTTCTGGGAGACCATGATAAGAGCAACAGTATGCAAAGAAAATTTGCTACAAAATTTGTGCTAGTTATGCTTGGGACTTCTGTCTCAACTGTGTCTTTGACAAGTCATTTTTTTTGTTTGCTTCTTCTGTATGGCTATATTCTGCTAGGGGTAATGAGCAGGCTGATAAATTGGCTGCTTCCACTCTTCTTGACAGAGAGCTACTTTATAAAAAGCGGTCATGGTGAACGTTTTCTGGGATCAAGTGGACAGTGCAACGAAACAGAGCATCAATACCCTGAGAGACTGATTCAGCATTGAGTGAACAGGGACTGGGTGGTTTTCAATATGCAGGGGAAAAAAAGACAGGTGGACTTTTCATCCAGTTGCATCTGGCACAATCAGCAGCTACTGGGAAGAAGTCAATGCATGACTGGGAATGCCCAGTTGCCAATTACTGCCTTTATTTTACCCCTTTTGCGGTGTAGTTGAGAGGTGGGGTAGGGGGGTCTTTGAGCCTGAGGATTTAAGGCTGCATGGCTAGTGCTGTCACCACAGGCTGTGCAGGTGAGGTTTTATTTTTGCCCCTGACAGAAACAAAAATCTTCAGGCGTCCCGAGGATTCGAACCCGGGTCTCCCACATGAGAGCTAACTATTCTAACCGTTCGGCACCGCCGCTCCTCCTGGGAATGCCCAGAGGACATTATTGTCAATTCTTTATTCGCTTATTTCATACTGCTCGCAAATCCCCACCTTTAAGGCCTGCAATGAAATTCAAATTAATCAATTTCAAGAAATAATCAATTTAGACTTTATTCTATCCCTATGCAGGTTCTGTTATCCTATCCTACGGGAGAAAAAAATAGAATCACTGTCATCCCAACAAGCATGTCACAAAAGGCGACTATTCAAAGGTGTTTTCCTTTGAAGTCAGAGTGAAACTCTGCCTCAGAGGTGAGCAACCAACAGTCCACATACAGATACGCTAAGTCTACTAAATGGATGGGCAAGCAAAACTCTGGATCAACACCAAACTTTAGTAATGGACAAACAATCAGAACTCAGAGTTTACAGCCAGTGAAACGTGAAGAAAACGTTATTCAACACTGCTGTTCTCAGCAGCGGTTACAATTAAGGTCCTTCTGTTTGTGCTGTAAATTGGAATAATTCACTTTTCC